TATAATCAAAACAGGCATGAAGCTTAAAAACAAAGTCGCTATCGTTACAGGTGGCGGAAGAGACATCGGAAAAGAAACCTCCATCAGGTTGGCAAAGGAAGGCGCAAAAGTGGTAGTAAACTATTGCAATGGCAAAGAAGCCGCAGAAGATACCGTGCAAAAGATCGTAGCCGCAGGTGGCGAGGCCATCCTCGTACAAGGCGATATGACCAGGAGCGTCGATGTGGCAAATCTGGTAGCAGCAGCCACCGCCGCTTATGGCAACGAGATCCACATACTGGTAAACGTGGCTGGTGGAATGGTAGCGCGCAAGACCACCGCAGAGATTGATGAAGAGTTCTGGGATCATGTGATCAACCTGAACCTGAAATCTGTATTCCTGGCCTGTAAGGCGGTGACGCCGCTGATGCCGCAAGGCGCTGCCATTATCAATTTCTCCTCACAGGCAGGCCGTGATGGTGGCGGACCTGGTGCCTCCGCATATGCTACATCGAAAGGTGCCGTGGCCACCTACACCCGTTCATTGGCCAAGGAGTTTGGCCCTAAGGGGATCCGGGTTAACTCGGTAGCGCCGGGAATGATCGCCACAACCTTCCATGATACATTTACCAAACCGGAAGTGCGCTCCAATGTGGCCAACGGTACGCCGTTGCGCCGTGAAGGAAACGCGGCAGAAGTAGCAGGGCTCGTTGCTTACCTGGCATCCGATGATGCTGGTTTTATCACTGGCGACAATATAGATATTAACGGAGGAACCTTCTTTTCCTGATCTATGAAAAAACTGATTATCACCTTAACCGGCTGTATGATTGGCAACTTTTGTACATGGGGCAGCACAAAGATCGCTGCCTCTGTACAGGAGTTGAATGCCTATGCAACCATCGCCGCGGCCGGCGATTCTGTATTGCTGAAAGCCGGTATTTATAAAGATGCCATCGTTCGGTTTGCAAACGCTAATGGCACGGAACAGGCACCGGTGGTGATTGCCGCAGAAGTGGCTGGTAAGGTTTTCTTTGAAGGGACATCACGACTAAGCTTTTCCGGTGAATACCTCGTAGTGTCTGGTTTTGTATGGCAGAATGGCGGAGCACTGGGGACGAAGTCAGTC